GTTTGGTCAGCCCTAAAATAAACACTTCACCATTCAAGGCTCTATTTAGAATAAAACAATCTAAATCTGATATCCATTTCTAAAACATATATCATTGATGTTAACAGGAATACCTAATTATATTGCCATGTTAATTTGTTCAATTATCTTTATAATGTCATTTTCTCCTCCTCCAGAATTTCATTCATTGGTTTCAGTTCCTTAGAAGTCATGGAGGGTCAACTATGTCACAACACAAGAACAAGATACATCCTCAAAAGTAACCTGAATTCTTCTAACCTAACGACCGATTCAGCCAATGCAACGCACGCCTTCAATGTGTTTGAAGGGTGCGAACAAATGGTGAGTGGTATCCTTTTTGACCTAACTATACAGTCCTTCAATGTGATCATAGGAATACCTGCCAACATCCTGGTCATAGCAAGCCTAATAAACACCCGGAATGAGCCTTCAACTTCTGACATCTTCCTGGGCTGCCTGGCTTTCATGGACGCCTACTTCGGATTTATGACTATCATAGCGTTCCTCAATCTCTACCACTGGAAGAGTGCTATGGGTTGGATGGCTCTGAAGTTCTCCTTTGGTGTTAAGGACACCAGCGGGCCGCTCTTCCTCTCGTGTGTCTGTCTGGATCGATTTATAGCCGTTCTCTTCCCCATCGCATTCGGACAGTTGAAGGACATCAAATACAGGATCGGCCTGAGCATCGTGGTTCTGCTGCTCACTTTTGCCTATGCTTCGGCCAAAGCCGTTGGTGGTCTGCCCAACTTTGAAAAGGTTTTCACTGGTGAGGTCTTGTTTGCTTTTACCTGGATGGTGGTGTGTAACGCGGCGATCCTCTGGGCCCTGAAACGCTCACGAGGCTCTGGTAAAGATGAGATGCATCCGATGAAAAAAAAGGCGTTTAAGATGGTGCTGTCTATCTTGATCATCATCATGAGCAACTATCTCCCTCCAGTTGCTCTGTTCCCCTTTGAAGACCATTATCCACACAAGATCTTCCCTTGCTATGTGCAGCCAGTGGGTTATGCCTTCTTAAACATCAGCAGCACTATCCAGCCCTTAACTTATTTGTCCCGCCTGGAGAAAGTACCATTCTTGCCTGATTCTTGTGTAAAGAAGTTAAGCTGCAAGGAACAAGACAAGCCCTTAAAGGAATAATAACTTCTGCCTGAAATAATGTCTGAAATATGGCTTGAAATAATTAACATCCTACTGTAGCCTACTAGTACTGCATTTTCATAGCTCTTCGGTTTGCAATATTCCTTCATATATTGCATATCATATATAATCATATAATATAATATAAATTGAACTTGGATCTGTGTAGCAAAAATAATTATTGTTCTGGAGGTTTTAGACTATCTCTGTTATGTCTTTGAATTGTAACACTGAATTCTGAATATCAAATCATTCATTATGCAAATATACATTGTTTGTAACTTTCCAAGCATTAATATTATATTTTTTGAATTCTAAATAAAACATTCAAAGGTTCATTAAAGAGTTGTGGCGCCCCATGTGTAACAGAGCAATAATTAGGAAAGTTGTTTTTTTGGTCTGTTTTTAATGGACCCCTGAAATAAATTTGTTCAAACATTTTGTTATTTGTCATCCTTGACCATTTCCTTAAATTGATGAATGTACGTTAAAATGTGATCCCATGAGGTTTTGTTGTTTTGACTCATTTGTGCATCCAGTGGCTTTATCTTTTCTTACTCTCATGTTTTGTGTTGGTTCAAGAGTTTTCACTGGAGTCAAGCAAAGCTTATTGGGCCCAGTCCCACGCCAGGGTATCCTGGCTCTCCTACTCATTGAAAGCTAGGTTACAGGTAAGTTAAGATCTGTATAACATTCATAACTGCAACACATGCACCTAATCAGGGCGATAAGATCTTACATGCAGGGATGTCATGCATCTCGGTTTTTTTGAGGGGACACCAGTTAAGGGGACACTCATTTTCCTGAGGCTGTGAGTCATGATAGTCAAGTGGTGTACTTTATAGTATGCATGCATTGGTCTGTGTTCAAATCCTGGTATAGTATAAATTATTATAATAAACCAAGCAAAATTGCAACTGAACTCAACTGCCAGCGATCGTCCTGTAACAGCGGAAATTGACTTTTTGATAACACCATTTGCGTTTCTTGGGGGGAAAACCCCTACCAGAAATAAAAAAAAGAATAACAATAAAAAAAAAAAATTAGGGCTATTTACTATTTAAAATTATGAACTGAAGTGAGAACAAACAACCTCTGCATTTAGAAAAGTATTTTGTGAATCAGAGACATTTGTCTTCAGCTCTTAACATACACTCACCTAAAGGATTATTAGGAACACCATACTAATACTGTGTTTGACCCCGTTTCGCCTTCAGAACTGCCTTAATTCTACGTGGCATTGATTCAACAAGGTGCTGAAAGCATTCTTTAGAAATGTTGGCCCATATTGATAGGATAGCATCTTGCAGTTGATGGAGATTTGTGGGATGCACATCCAGGGCACGAAGCTCCCGTTCCACCACATCCCAAAGATGCTCTACTGGGTTGAGATCTGGTGACTGTGGGGGCCATTTTAGTACAGTGAACTCATTGTCATGTTCAAGAAACCAATTTAAAAATGATTCGAGCTTTGTGACATGGTGCATTATCCTGCTGGAAGTAGCCATCAGAGGATGGGTACATGGTGGCCATAAAGGGATGGACATGGTGAGAAACAATGCTCAGGTAGGCCGTGGCATTTAAACGATGCCCAATTGGCACTAAGGGGCCTAAAGTGTGCCAAGAAAACATCCCCCATACCATTACACCACCACCACCAGCCTGCACAGTGGTAACAAGGCATGATGGATCCATGTTCTCATTCTGTTTACGCCAAAATCTGACTCTACCATCTGAATGTCTCAACAGAAATCGAGACTCATCAGACCAGGCAACATTTTTCCAGTCTTCAACTGTCCAATTTTGGTGAGCACTTGCAAATTGTAGCCTCTTTTTCCTATTTGTAGTGGAGATGAGTGGTAACGCCTCAAGGTTGTGCATGTTGTGGCTTCACAAATGCTTTGCTGCATACCTCGGTTGTAACGAGTGGTTATTTCAGTCAAAGTTACTCTTCTATCAGCTTGAATCAGTCGACCCATTCTCCTCTAACCTCAAGCATCAACAAGGCATTTTCACCCACAGGACTGCCACATACTGGATGATTTTCCCTTTTCACACCATTCTTTGTAAACCCTAGAAATGGTTGTGCGTGAAAATCCCAGTAACTGAGCAGATTGTGAAATACTCAGACCGGCCCGTCTGGCACCAACAACCATGTCACGCTCAAAATTGCTTAAATCACCTTTCTTTCCTATTCTGACATTCAGTTTAGAGTTCAGGAGATTGTCTTGACCAGGACCACACCCCTAAATGCATTGAAGCAACTGCCATGTGATTGGTTGATTAAATAATTGCATTAATGAGAAATTGAACAGGTGTTCCTAATCCTTTAGGTGAGTGTAGATTCCCTAGCACGTTTCACAAAAGGGTTGACATTTAAATTAATATGTTCTATATATTGTATAACATTTTGGATGGATTTGCCCAACAACCAGTATACAAAAAATCCTTTCTTTCTGCTCAAATCATGCAGCTTAAATAACATATTTTTTTTAGTTTTGGGACAATATTAAAGGATTAGTTCACCTCAAAATGAAAATTTCCTGATAATTTACTCACCCCAATGCCATCCAAGATGTTCATATCTTTCTTTCTTTAGTGGAAAAGAAATTAAGTTTTTAGAGGAAAACATTTCAGGATTTTTCTCCACACTATGAACTTCAAGCGCAACCAACATGTTGAAGTCCAAATCAATGCAGTTTCAAAGGGCTATGAAGTGCTTCAAACAGCTCTGCAGGTTCCCAGCTGAGGAATAGGGTCTTCTCTAGCGAAACGACTGGTCATTTAAAAATAAAAAAATAAACATTTATATACTTTTTAACCACAATTGTTCATCTTGTGCTGGTCGGCGACGCCAGGCATTACGTCATCACGTTGGAATGGCATTGGGGTGAGTAAATTATCCGGAATTTTTCATTTTGAGGTGAACTAATCCTTTAATTTTGCATCTAAAATAACTGTTGAACTTAAAGGGATAGTTCACCCAAAAATGAAAATTAGCCCATGATTTACTCAAACCGAAGCTAGGTGTATATAACATTCTTCTTTCAGGCGAATACAATCGGAGTTATATTAAAAATTGTCCTGGCTTTTCCAAGCTTTAATATAATGTATAATATATTTTAATATAACTCAGATTGTATTCATCTGAAAGAAGAATGTCATATACACCTAGGATGGCTTTAGGGTGAGTAAATCATGGGCTAAGTTTCGTTTTTGGGTGAACTATCCCTTTAATTATCATACATAATTTTTTTTAAAAAAAATTGTCTTTTGGAAGTTGCATTTAAAATCCATTTGGATCAAAAATCTGCGAGGACAAGTGCCTCCTCAATCACTGGGATAATCACTGACAGATTCAGAAAACAATGTGCATTTGTTTGAATGTTTTTTAATAGCAATAAAGATAAGCTTGCACATTAATGTGTAGAAATCAAAATTGTAAGTCAAGGTCACAGGCACATTAAGGACATGTTTACACAACAGCAATGTGAGAAGTTTTTCTTTCACGCTTTTCAAAAACATGCACTTTGAAACCCCCAAAAAGTCCCCCGCCCCCGTTTATGTAAATGAACGGCCAAAACACATAAACAGTTTTTCATAGTTGAAAACTGTGTCGTGTAAACAGCCCCTTAGAGAACCTTTTGGGCTACTTTGTACAATACCAATACCATGCAGTGTGCATCTATTTAATATAAGTGTAGTGTACTACTAAGAGGTTATGTTACCCTACTGTCAGCTTTAGCTCAAACAGTAGAGCATGGCAAGATCAAGGGTAGATCAAATGTGTACAAATGTGTATTTTCACAGTATATATTTTCAAAATTATAATTTCTCTATTTTAAATGATACTTTCATAAAGACACCAACACAGGCTTGGATAGAATTCGCAAAGGATGCTTGCTTTGCGTGTAAAAGTATGGCAATAACCTTTCTGTAAAGACCTGTTTGAAAGTGTATATAATTTCCTGACATGAAGGCTTTAAAAAAATCACCTCCCCTCTGTCCCAGTTCAGCTGAACCAAGACCCTCTGCAGTTTGTCCTCCACTTTTAGAGATGTTGGGGGTGATGCCATAGCCCTGTATTGCCCATCACGAAGGCAGATGGTCCAGAAGCCATTCTCTGGTCTCGCAGGTACTTCCTGATCTCTCTTCACACGCTCGCTGGCCAAGCCCAGGATCCAGTCCTCGTTGTCACCAACCTCGACCTCCCAGCTGTGGCTTGCTGAGTTAAAGCCAGTGCAACCCAGCACCTCTGCGCTGATGTGGAAACGCTCAGGGTTACTGGGGAGCCCTTGGTTTGGGATGCTATAGTGGAGACTGGTGAGGTCATCGGAGAGCGTCAAGCAAGGGTGGGCTGTGTTTGGGTCCAGAATTATTGGGGCTGACGAAAGAAGACAGATGTTGAAAACATACAGTGAGCATGTTTACATATACACTGATATGCTGATAACTCCCAAAATTAGCTTGATTGAATTAACCAATTGTCCAGGCAACGCAACTAAAGTGCGTTTACAAGACTTTATTAAAAAATGAGGTTATTAGTGACATTAAAAAAAACAATCATTCATGTATCTGACTCGGAGTATTCCATTTGTTATGTGATAATTGATGTTAAATAAACAGAAGTTTCACTGTACGCTTCACTCGCACACACACACACACACACACACACACACATTTGATTTGGCACAGGTTTTACGCCGGATGTTCTTCTTGACACAACCCAGACAAAAACACGTTCACACTCACAGTGTCACAAACACACACTTCTATGACAGTTTGGCATATCCAAACCATCTGACCTGCATGTCTTTGGACTGTTGGAGAAACCGGAGCAGCCGGAAGACATATATATAGTACCTTTTGAAAACCCAGTCATCTTTTTTGTTTTGGCATTTTCAAAACCATGATTTGGATTTGTTAAAATTGGCATTGTGAAACTTGACTGGCCTTTATTCGCCAGAATAATTTACCCTACTAATACATGAAATGCTCAACACTTGGCGTTTTATTTGTCATTTACAGGTTGTTGTTTTTTTGTGTCATTATATACTTTTCAATTATTAACCGATGCGGGAACACACATAATCTCTGCATTTGGTTCTGTTCAAATCATGTAGGCTAAATGACATATTTTGGCTTTAAAACAGAGTAATTCAATAAAGTGGAGAACTTATAGAGGACACTATACATTTTGCACCTTTGCACCATCCACCTTTACTAGTTTGGAATTTAATACTTTGATTGAAAGTTTTGAGTCCAAGTTTATTTATTTTTTATATTGTTTTATCATGATTCAAACCATTCTTTCTTTGAATAATTGTATTGTGGTTTGATTAAAGTTTAATATGACATCACAAAATGATGTTTTATTAACAAAGTTCGGGAGGAGCACGTTCAGATAATTAAACCTAATTAAACACACGTGGAGCACATTCAGATAATCAAACCTAATTAGACACGAGTGGTGCTTAATCAACGAGTTAAGCGCTGTGTATATATACAGCAAACTTACCTCCGTTCATTGACAGTTTAACAGCATCCCTCCACCACCCCATCTCCTCACTTATAGTCCTAATACTCTTACAACAACGGGGGGAGTACTCTGGGTTCGGGCAAAATTCCGAGCTCGGAGCCCTCCCCCCGGACAGCACGCCAAATACGCATAATCTTTACTCTGTTTAATTGATGTAAGTGTGAACTCGTGAAATCCCAATATGCAGTATGTGGTCCTATCAGCCATGATATGATCAACCTAGCTTTAGATACTTATAACTATGCAGCAAAATAAATTGACTACATCAACCCTTCAAAATAAACCAACACATGTCATTTACTTTAAAGAGGTACTTACTGTAAGGTGCAACTGCCTGCATGCTCTCCCAGACCTTGTACTTTAGATTCCCAAGATACTTAGATTCATCCAACAAATATCCAGACATGCATTCTGGATCCTGCAATGTGCTCCATGTTCTGCAAAAAAAGAATAATAATAATATCATACATATACTGAATATACTTTAAAGAGTAAGTTGCATTGACAATTAGCCTGGTTAAAACCAGACCATCTCAGTTGTAACTGAGTTATGGTCTGGTAAAGCGTCATAGACAAATCATTTCCAGAGGGGCGTCACCAACGGACGTCGCCGATAGACCTAAACCCAATCAGAGCGATGAAGGAGATGACGTATGCAGAGCGGCGGAGAAACATCTCCGAGTGTTGTTCTTTGCTCGGTTTTTAACAAAAGGGAAACGTTCAAATCGCTTAAAACAGACGCGATAGCTGATTCGAACGAGTGATGTTCGATGGCGGCATCCATCTTTGTAATGTAGGCTACAAAATCTGCTTCAAAATCCCAGCGCTGTCGTCATCGTGTAAAGCCCGCCCCAACGTTTCTGATTGGTGCCGCGATTTCGGCGGATTGGAAATGAGTTTGAATGAGCTCTTTGCCAGACTAACTTTCAGAGCAAATCTAAATTTGCCGGAAGTTGTCTGGGTTTTCCCAGGCTAATTGACAATACAAGATCTTGACCAAAAATGTATGCACCTCTTGATGAAAGTAGCCTCACAACATTAATTTCCTCAAGAAGTTCATCGATTTTTGGTCAAGATCTTGTATTGTCAATGCAAGAGTCCGGCACTCTGTAAAGTCTCCTCCAGCACATGCCAAAGACTTTCAGTGAATTTAAGTTCTGGACTCATGTGCCAATTAATGTGTGAAAATGATTCTTCATGCTCCTCACAACCATTCTTTCACAATTTGAGCCTGATGAATCATTGTCATCCTGGAATAAGGCCATGATGTGTCTTCTTACATGGATGTTTAAGAAATGAAAAGCTACACACTCCATCAATTAGGGTTAGAAGAACTGATGCCAAACATATAACATGCTAGAAACATAATAATCACTGCAATAATGATCCAATCATAGACTCTCAAGCATGTATTGCCTATTTAAATCCAAACAGCAACTTTTTTTATATGTCTAATAGGTCACAGACTGGCAAGAATGACACAGAAAAATTGTTGTACTGTACATATGGTTCCCCCCGCAAACATTTTTAGGCTGCGACCCACAAGTTTCGCAGAACCACTGAATTAAGCAATAATAAAAACAAAAAAGGAGAAAGCAAAGGAAAAAAGTAACAAAAAGAAAGTCAGCGATATACTTACCCCTCTATTGTAGCTTTGAAGTTCTGTAAAAGATAAAGGTGAATGGATGAATGAACGAACGAACAAGAACATGTTATTCGAAAAGATGTAAAAATTCTCGCCTGCAGCAATGTTAAATCTTCAGCGTTCATGGTTTGCTCCATTGTCCTGATCATGTCTGTAAGAGATGATATCCTCCGTCCATTATCGTCGTCTCTGTTCTTCATTGCCGCGACCCGCCGCTCTTCCTCCTCCTTCAGTCCTGATAACCTGCGCTCTTCCTCCTCATACAGAAACTGATGAAGCTTGAGAAACTCATCCTTCATCTGTCTCTCAACCCGCTGAGCCTGATTCTAAGACAAATAACTGACATTGAAGAAATCTAGCGACTGACCTTCTGACAAAAGTCACTTATCTGATCAAACAAAATATTTACCTTAATGTGCTCCAAAGTAAAGGCTGAAGATTGTCTTGCTTTGTTGAATAATTCCAGCTTATGTTGCAGTATCTTCATGGCAGCACACATTTCATCCTGCAAAAGAAATATCTTTCTTTAAAGTAAAACTAAGGATATATTTCCCAATGTAATGTGCGCAAAACAGTGCTTCGGGAACAAGATTTCACTTTGGGCATCAAAATGAAAAGTTAATATGTTTATTTATTTCACTGTTCTAACAATGCCTTATTATTGCCCAGTTTCACAGACAAGGCTTAAAGGGTTAGTTCACCCAAAAATGAAAATTATCCCATAATTTATCCCACTTTCAGCCAAACACATTCAGAGTTATATTAAAGGAGCTGTATGTAAGATTGTGGCCAAAACTAGTACTGCAATCACTGTCAAATTACTGTAGAGTGGTGTATCCCCTCCCCCTCCTCCCTGACTCGAGGTTGCCAGATCGGCTGCAGGATCCAGCAGGAACGTGACGAGCTGCAGCTGTGGTAACTAGAGCAGAGCTGGCAACCTGGATGCCGCAACACTACTGACTTCGTGATTGGTAGATAGGTGGAGGGTGGAGCATCAGACCAAAACACAACATGACAACATCAACATCAGTTGAGGGCTGCAACTGCACTTTTTAAATGACAATATCCTGGCCAGACTACTGTTGTCAGTGATATAAGTATTTGAAATGTACATGATTTCTTAATGTCTAGTGACATTTCAGGGCCATTTTATGATTCATTGAAATAAATTTCTTACATACAGCTCCTTTAACATGCGTCGGGTCAGAGGTCGCTCTTCGTCCGGAACTAGACTCGTATACGGCCGTTACCAGAAGCCAGTGTTTATAGTTACACAAACGCAGCGCTTCGCTTCAGAAGGCCTTTATTACCCCCCTGGAGCAGTATATATTACTTTTATGATGGATGGATGCACTTTTTAGGTCAAAATATCAGGCTCCATTAACTCCCATTATAAATATTTTTTTTTAAAATATAAATCTGATTGTGTTTGGCTGAATGAAAAAAAGTCATATACACCTAGAATGGCTTGAGAGTGAGTAAATAATGGGATAATTTTCATTTTTGGGTGAACTAACCCTTTAAATCCAGTCCCAGGTTAAAATGCATGTTGGAGCTGAAAGTTAACAGTTAGCTGAAAGTGAATTGCACTGGAACATTTTAATAAGTCAGTCCCATTGTTTTGTCTCAAGATGCACACCTGTAATGTTTTTGTCTAAAGCAAGTTTATAAAAGCTACTTAAATGTCATAATTTAACTAAGACCTAATTCTGACTCAATCTAAGCCCTGTCTGTGAAACTAGGCCTATATGGTTTGTTGCATTTGCATTTAGCATTGTGTATTTTTTCAGAACAGACCTACAACCCACTAGATGAGAACAACCAGTGCAGAAAAACTATACGAACAACTGAAGCACTTTTTCAATACAAACTTCTCCTTCCAGCACTAGCCTAATCCAACGGTGCAAGTACACTTTGAAAGATTTATGTCACATTTTGGATGGAGTTGATCACATTTTCCCAGAATACAATGGGACGCATATGCCACAATGGGAGCTCGAACAAGGGGAATGAAGAAGGTGTTGTTTGAAAGCCTGCCATGATCTTTTTGGCCGAACACTGTGATAATGTCAAAGCAAACTTGATAAACAGCATTCTTATGCCCTGCTACTGTAAATCTTGAGAACGGCAACACAATGTTACACAGTGCGTCGAAACAATGTGGCTCTGTCAAACTCTACCTTGCAGTCCAGAGCCGCCTCTTCCGTGGGAGAGCAGTCGTGACCTTTGTGCATTTTTGAGGCTTGGCACACCACGCAGATAGGCTCCTGATCCACCAGACAGAAGAGTTTGAGCTTTTCCCCATGTCTCCAGCACAGGGTGTTTGATCCAGATGCACTGCCCTGGCCTTTCCCCAGCTGAAAAGCTTCACACAGGTTTTTGAGGGCCCGGTTTGAAAGAGGGCTTTTCTTGGAGGCTTTTCTCCTGCAGACGGGGCAGTTGCGAAAGACTGCGCTCTCCCAGAAGTGCTCCAGACAGCTCCTGCAGAAACTGTGGCTACATGGCAAAAGCACCGGATCCTTGAAGATGTCGCAGCACACGGGACAGGAGAGGTCCTCTTCGGGAAGGTTTGCAGACATGTCCTTTAGCAGGTACCACTTTCTTTGGGTTTTAAGAGGAGGGCTTGTTGTCTGCGTTAGACATCTCAGCAGAAGCTTTACAGGTGTTCTGGTTTCATGGAGCACAGCGCTGATAATGTGTCTGTCTTGACATGCAACAGTAGAGAGGGAGGGGTCTGAGCACACTGAACTAGTAAAACTAGAAGTGATTGTTGAATGATAGAGAGATGGTGGTAGTTGATCCTCTTCCTACAGCCCGTTCCTGTAGTCTAATTCAAATAGTAGGTGGGGTTTCACCATTTAAGTTCTGCTGCCCATACATCGCAATAAATCCATTATTAATATATACACAATAAGGTTCCAAAAGGGGGTTTTCACAGCGATGCCATAGAAGAATGGTACCCCCAAAAAAACTTTTATTGAAAAGAACAATTAGTGTAAGTCTTCCACTATCCAATACAACTTTAACATAACATAACATAACATACAACCGAGGATGTTAAAGGCTCTTCATGGAACCATTGATGCCAATGAAGAACTTTTAAATGATTATTGTGTATATGAATAGTTTATATTTATGCATTGTGACACACATGCAAATCTCATTAATGCAAAATAAATCTCTGTAATGCAAAACTACAATTCTAATTATTCAAATGTAATTGTATAATTTTTACATCAAATTATGCAATTGCTTTGTTTTACAATTTCTTTTCTTATCTGGAAAAAATGGCACTCAAACAAATCAATTAATCTTAACTTGGGTTTTCTGAGTAAGCAATGGATAGTATGTGAATAATACAGATTATTAGATTTTTATAAATAAGTTAAGACTAAGTTAAATAGTAATAGAAGACAGATTGTTTGTTTGTTTGTTTGTTTGTTTGTTTGTTTAGGTGTTGGTATTCTAGCAAAGCAAGATTAATCTGTGGGGTTCCTCAGGGGTCCATTCTTGGACCCTTACTATTTCATATTTATACAGTAGCCTATATAAATGACTTGTCAAATGTTTCAAATATTCTTACTCCAATAATGTTTGCAGAAGACATAACCTTAGTAGGCTACTCTCTCACTCAAATTTTAATTTATTGATTAAGAATGTAAATTATGGCCTAATCACATATGTTAATTGGTTTAATTTAAAGAAATTATCTTTAAATATAAAAAATATATATATTTTTGTTTTGGTGGTAAAAAATTATATCCTGGATTTATCCAAAGTTACAATTGAGTGTATTGAGGTGCCTCAAGTGTCAACTATAAAATTCCTGGGAGTTTTTGTTGATGAGAGCTTGAGTTCACAAGTTCACTACATGAAAAAAAAAAAAAAAAATCTACCAGTATAATAAGGAGGGTAAAGCATCTTGTTACGAGAATGTCTTCTTACTCTTAAAGCTCCAGTAGGGAGTTTTGAGAAAACGTTGACTTAGCCTGAAAATTTTAACAAGCACAACCTACAGGTCCCACCCCCTTGCTCTCTGCTGCGCTACAGCCCTCCCTCCACAGCTCGTCCTCCACAGCGGAGCCTGTCGTGAACGCGCAGGCTAGTAAACAGGGCCACTGATAACAGCGGATAAAAAGTTATATGGCACATTCACTAATAGGGACTAAACGTCAATAATATGCTTTACATTGACTATGGCCTGCCCATACTTTGACTACAAACTTGGTCCTCAAATCATTATGTATTTTCCAATAGCCTACATGTAACTTTATAACGTTGCACTCTTTTTATAAGTTATAAATAGCGAGTAAGATAACGTTAATATAACGGTAACTAACGTTACAGTATGTAAGTAATTATTCTAGCGATATATAATGCTAGATAAGGTGTGCTAGTACATGACAAGCCAGTGAATTAGCAGGTTTCAATTGTTGCTTAGCAGAGTGCGTGACATTTTATCTACATGTTATGCGGCTAGAGTTTTGACACCGAGTCAATGGGCTCTGTGTAATTCTTTCTTTTTCGCTTGTTTATTGTTACCAGTCTTTTTCCTTTTACCTCTTTGTTTTATGAGCAGGTGTCACTCGAGAATTGGCAGTTCTCTTACGAGAGTATCTCTCGTACTGCGTAATAGCTTTACGCTAGGGGAAAAACTCTTTTCCACGAGATATTGAAGCCAAAAATTGTCCTTAATTTTTTCTTTATTAATGTAAAACGCTTTGCAGCAGCAAGCAGACATAGGCGAAACAGCTCGCGCGCCTATTGGTTGCTCTTGCGGCAAATGCAGCAGCCTATCGAGAGAGACTCTGCGTGACGTAATGACCAATGGGGGCAATTCGCGCCCATATCGTCACGTCCCGCCAGAAAGGGCGTGGTCTCACCCTATAAATATGCTCGTTAGGCTGGTACAAGCTGATTTTTATCTCTTCAGCGACGCACACGCATCGCTGGACCCGGAGTGAGAAGCCGCGCCGTCGAAGCAAGCCTTTCAGCGGGACGAGCTCTGGAGTCGCTGGCCTCGCCGCCTTCAACTGCCGTACCTGCTGCGCTTTCCGGCGTTCTATATCCTTTTATACTCTGTGTATCTTTACTCTGCTGAGAGTGTTTGCTCGCTTACTTGACGTGACTCACACTTCTCTTCACAAAAGAGCTGCGTCTTTTTAAAGATGCCATCCTGTGGCTCGTGCCGCGCCCCGCTCAGCGACGGAGACCGGCACGTCATCTGTGTTTCCTGCCTGGGTGAGGATCACGCAGCTCTCGCGCTCGCTGACGGCGGATGCCCTCATTGCGAGCTTTTGCCTATGGTGACTCTGAGGACTCGCCTGGCATCATTCTCCGAGCCTTCACCACAGCCCGGCGTGGTGCCGCGCCGCAAGAAGCGCCGCGCCCAGCGCGCTCCCGAGCTTTCTCCAGCCCGCCAAAGCTCGCCGGTTCGCCCGCCAGCTTCGCCGGCTTCGCTCGAGTCGCTCACTGACGGACAACGGCCGCCGCCTGCCGCCGCGTCCGTCCACGAGTTCGATGAACCCACCGAGGCGTGTTCTCTTCTGGCATCCGATAGCGAGGATTGGGCGAGCTCCGTGGACCTCCCCTCCGCTAGCGTTTCCCGCCAGACCACTGGTAAGAGAACCGGCATTGAGACTGAGCTGATGCGTCTGCTCTCTCAGGCCGTGGAAAGCATCGGCCTCGATTGGGAGGCGCCCGCGAGTCGTCAAGGAAACGGGCCAGCATCAAGACCGCGAGCCCTAAAACCGCGGCTAGCTTTCTTTACGTTATAAGAAATCTACCCCGCCCCCCATGGGCGTGCGTCACCGGCAAATGAGAAAAGAGTGTGTTTTAGTCCCCGCCGAGGCCGGACTAATCTCCATTTCTCAAACATTTCTCAGCTCCTAGTTTGAGTGGCTGAAAATGTAATTATTGCAGCAATGAGCCTGTTGTATAACACGCACACCTGCATACAAACGCCGACACACACAAAACTGTGATGACGCTCTCTTATCTGCTTGCGCCAGTGTAGTTCTCCCTGTGGCCCAGTGGCGGAACCCGAAGCTTTCACGCGAGAGACCCGTGTTCGATCCCGGCTCTCGCAGCAGATAAAAGTTTAGTCTCGCCGCGGCCAGACTTCCACCGAAACTTTTCGCTCGTTCAGTTCCAGAAAATGCGACTGTTCCAGTGTATTTTGCAGTAAACAAGCTGGTACCACAGCCCGCTTGCCTGCACATAAAGGCCGTTTCCACGGCGACCCAGAAAAATCATGCAATCATTGTATTTCTGGTTTTCCGGCCACAGCCGATGGTGTTATAAGTGTAATAAAATGCTCACAGCCCAGTGTTTATTTCTACACACAAACACAGCCCGCCACGGTACAGGGCTCGCACAAATGAAATCGACGCATGTCAATTGTGCATTAAATGTAGTGAATGTGCCCACAACCCAGTGCCCACAAACACTACCACGGTTTCTGTAAAACGAAACCAACACAAGTCTTCCTAGCCTCCTAGGAAATCGACGGTGTTTCAGTCTCGCCGTGGCCAGACTTCCACTGAAATTTTCGCTCGTTCAGTTCCAGAAAATGTGACTGTTCCAGTGTATTTTGCAGTAAGCAAGCCAGTACCATGCCCGCTTGCCTGCACACAAATGCTGTTCCCACGGCGACCCAGATAAATCACATAAATGGTGTATTTTCTGGTATTCCGGCCACAGCCGATGGTGTTATGAGTGTATTGAAAATGCCTACAACCCAGGGCTCATTTCTACACACAAACACAGCCCGCAAAAATGCAGGGCTCGCACAAACAAAATCGCCTCATGTCGATTGTGCACTAAATGTAGTGAATGTGCCTACGTCTCAGTGCCCACAAACACTACACACCACATGTCCCACGGGTTCTGTGAAAACGAAACCAACACGCATTCAGTCAGCTCAGGCCGACGGTGTTTTTCAGTGCAGTAAATGTGCCCGCTGTCCTGCGCCCACATTCACTCACAGACATGTTAAGCCCCACGGGGCTCGCCCCGCTCTCTCTCCCTCAGCAAACTGCTATAAGGGTTTTGAGCGCGGCCAGGCTGCCCGCCGCGATCGGCGCGCCCCCCGCCTCACACACTGTAAACACAGTGTCTGCGTTACAGCACGCCGGAGCTCTCTTGCCGTCACTATGTCTCGGCCAGAGCCCAGATCTCATTCTACCCCTAGCTATTCACGCGAAAGTGTGGGCACAGCTTCCTGGGGTATCAGAATGGGTGCTGAACACTATAAAAAGAGGCTATTCGCTACAGTTCGCTCGACGTCCCCGCCGTTATATGGCGCGCGTCGAGACGACGGTGGAAAACGAAGTATCTCATCTACTTCGAGCCGAGATAGCGAAACTACTGAGCAAAGGCGCTATAGAACCTTTATCTCAAGCTCAGAGCAAAGGGGGCCTACACAGCAGATATTTTCTGGTACCGAAAAAAGATGGAGGTCTCAGACCCATTTTAGATCTGCGACAGCTGAACAGAGCGCTTGTGAAGCGCCAGTTCAGAATGCTTACGACCAGGAAAATCCTCGCGCAAGTGCGCCACGGGGACTGGTTTATGTCAATAGATCTGAAAGACGCCTATTTCCAAATACAAATAGCGTCCCATCACAGGCGATTCTTGAGATTCGCTTTCGAGGGCCAGGCATACCAATACACAGTCCTGCCGTTCGGCCTGTCCCTAGCACCTCGTAAATTCACGAAGTGCATGGACGCGGCGCTCGCACCCCTGAGACTTCAGGGCATGCGAGTCCTGAACTACTTGGACGATTGG